GGACCCCGTTCTGGGTGCACGGAGGCACCGCTGGTTTGCCCGCTGCCTCCGCGCTCCCCACCCCGCAGGGCAGCACTGAGGGGGCTGTGCTGAGGAGCCCAGGATGAACGTGTCCCTCCTTCCCTTATGCCCCCAGCACTGGGTGCCTGAGCCCCACCACTGGCATTCCCACTGCCCCTTAATGCCTTGGTGCCCTTCTCCAGGCCTAAGCAGGGGAGAAAGAGGCCATTGTTCAGGGGCTTTGGGGGTAGAGTACGGGCACTGGGGAGCTGTGCAGGGCTGGAGAAGGAGGAAAGACTGCCTCTGCCTCTGGGCACTGCAGGTGGCTGGAGAAGAGGGAGCACCACGTGCACCCACATCTCTGCTCCCTGTTTCTGCTCCCTGTAAGCCCCTGGGGACGGGTGCTCTAGCACTAGTGGCACTTTCCCTCCCATGGCTGGAGCCACAGCCCCTTTGTCTGCCCATCCAGAGACAAGCACACGTACGCAGCGCTCTGTTCAAGCTAAAATTTATTCCTGCGTGAGTCTCCCTTGTACGAGACACTTCCCACCCATCTTGCTTACACAGTAAACAAGCCACCTGCCAAGCAGCAAGGCTGCTCCAGTCCGGTACCTGCCGTGGGCAGCCCCTCCATCCTAGCCTGCCCTTCCCTGAGCCCCACCGGGATGCCCCGGGCTGGATGGGATGCTCATGGTGCGAGAGTGCTCAGCCTGTGCCCACAGGGGCAGCGAGGGTGAAGCAGGATGGGCTGCTGGGTTGGATGTAGCTGCCTTCCAGGCTCGGATTGTACTGGGTCAGGCCCATCTGTCCTCCCACTGCACATCAGGCAAGGCAGGATGGGGAGGAGAATAAATTAAGAGAAAAGCTAAAAAGGCCACTGGCGTTTGCTAGCTGGAGGCCAGGGCAGCAGGGCAGATGGGGACACGCATCCCCAGGCACCCAGGAGGACTCCTGATCACAAGGGAGGAGAAAGTCCCAATTGCAGGTGGTGCCAGAAAGCCACTGTCCTCCACTCCCTCTCCTCCCCAGGACGGACATTCCTGTGCAACCCCAATAGCCTCCTGCTCCCCTAAATGGTTTAAGGCACCGTCGTATGAGGAGGCAGGTAAAAACATACCCAAAGCATTCCCTGGCACAAATCCCTGGAGAGCCAGGAAGTGGCGGAGTGCTCCAGGTTGAGTGAAGTCCACTATAAATACATATAAATTCCATAAAATGTTTTCCTCCCTCCTGTCCATGAATCCAGGCTTGAATTCAGGCTGCTTTGAGGAGTGTGCACGGGGCAGCTGGTGGGGACATGCTGCCTGAGATGGGATGGAGGCAACTGAAGGGCTGGAGTCCTTTGCCAGGAGGTTTAGAAGTGCCGGGAGGAGGCTGGGAGCAGTTCACAAGTCCTCTGGGGCGGCCAAGAAGTGTGGGAGTGACAAGAGGCCAGGAGGGATGCGGGAGGTTCTCCTGGGTCCCCAGCTCTGGGTGCTCCTCCAGGGGAGCAGAGGTCCTGGCTCAGTCAATGGGGCAGGCAGCCCCCTGCCCACAGAGTCCCTTGCTCAGTATTTTTATTACACACCAACAAAAAAAAAAGAAGGAAAAAAAAAACCAAAACAACCTGAAACGTACCCCAAGGTAAAAAACAACTAGGAGGCGCCTGAGCTGCTTGGGCCCTGCCCTGCCATGGGCTGCCCTCCTCAGTTCGGAGCTGGGGTGTCCTTGCCTGGGGTCTGCTCCTTGCTGATTCCAGCCTCCAGCTACAGCCACCTCGAGGTCTCTCCTCTTCACCTCCCTCTTGCACCAGGGGAGGTGCAGAAACCTGGAGGGGCCGGCTCTGAGGAGCGGTGCAGGGGGTGCCCAGGGAGGCAGGGCTGGCTACATGCGGGAGGACGGGCTGGCCAACTCGTAGAAGAGCAGGTAGGCATCGCTGCTGCGGACATGGCTGGATGACATCGGGGTAACACTGCAGGGATGGGGAGACGTGCTGTGAGCAATGGGGTCAAGGCACCGGGACGCCCTGGGCAGGGGGTCCTTGCTCGCCCCCGTCTCACGCGCAGCCTCACCGAGAGTCGTTGAAACTGTGCCACTCGCTGGAGACAGGGCTCTTGCAGTAGGCAGTGTAGTGTCCTCCCATGGTGGTGCCCGAGTGGTTGGAGACAGCATAGAGGTTGTAAACGGCGTGGTCTGTGGGGAGCGAGGGTGGTGCTCAGCCATGCTGGCTGCTGCCCCACTGCCCCCCAACACAGAAGCACAGAGCTGTGGCCAGCACCCTGGATGCAGCTCCCACCCCCCTGCCTTTGCAGCCCCCTGAGGGACAGGAGGGACCCGCTTGGGAGTTGCTGGGAGCCCAGCGCTGAGCTGGAGGCATGCACTCACTGCAGCTCTGCGAGGCAAACTCTCGGAGGTCCAGGTCCTTCAGCTGGAAGTTGACGAAGGTGGTGAGCTTGCTTGTTCGTATCCTGGCCTCTGAGAAGCGCT